GGCAGGCGTCCAGGGCCCCTCGCAGGGACACCCCGACCCCCGGGGGGCCCCGGGGTGGGGCCCGACGCCACTGTGCAGAGGACTTTGAGGGTGACGGTGGGGTTCACTGCAGACGCAGGCAGCGGCCGGGCAGGAGCCGGCGGTGAAGGGCCAGGGCGGCCCTGGTGCTCCAGCCCCGCGGCCCCGGGGCAGCGCCCAGCCGTCCACTCCGCAGCCCTGCTCGAGCTGGCCTGCAGCCGGGGACGGGGCTGGGCTGCGAAAACAAGCCTGAGAGCGAAGTGTGCACCGGGCTGACTTCCACAGCCCCCGTGGCCATCCTGACCGCCGAGGTGTGAGGACCGGGGCAGGGTCCGGCCCCTGGACGGCGCAGGCGTGCACAGTCCCGGGGCCGCCAGGGGGGTGGGGGCCGCCTCTGGCCCCACCCTGCCGCGTGTCCTCTGCAGAGACCGTGCCCACACGGCCCGTCCCGAGGCTGCGACCAGGGCCTGGCGTGCCCGGCGCCGTGTCCGCCCGAGGCCGAGCGAGGCCGCTGGGCGCGGGGGCACGTGCCGCCTGGCGTGCCCAGGCCGTATTTACTCCTTCAGCTCAGGTTTCTGCTCTGACGCGGTGACTTCAGCTGGAAAATATACTCTCCGGCTCCTGCCAGGGTGGAAAGTTGTGAAATGCCAGGCGCTTCCCTCATCGGGGGCTGAGCCAGGCAGTGTCCGCACGACAGTGCTGGCCGGCGCGTGCCGGCTGGGGACAGGCGCGGAGCCCGGGAGGGCTGCGCCGGGGGGGCCAGAGGGAGGGCTCGGACAGCTGCATTTCAGAGAGGAAACTGAGGCAGGCGGGGGCGCTGGCTGGCCCGAGCAACCTCTGCTCCCAGGCCCCGGACCGGGGGAAAGGCCCGGGCAGTGGGGACCCGGTCCCTCGGCCCCCACAGCCACGCCCAGCCTGGTCCTGAGCGGCACCGCGGCGTGGAGGAAGCGCCCCACAGCTGGGTGCTCACCAGGACCCCAAGGCCACGGGGCCGGGGCAAGTGGCCGCACCGGGCCTCGCGGACCGGGGCTGCGCTGGGCTGGACGCTCGCGGCCCCTCCTCAGTGACCCCTCCACAGCCAGGGTGCCGGGGTGCCGCTCAGCCTCAGCCCAGGCCCCCGGCTGGCCCCCGGGCCCCAGCGGCCGAGCGGACCTCTGCCGGGAGGCCGGGAGCCCAGCCAGGGAGGGGGCGG